GTTGGTCCGTAGGTTTACAGAACATGCATCACAAATGAGCCTGTTGAGAGCTTTCTGGAAGGAGATGAAGATTAGGGATGAGTTTTAAGAAATCTCCAAAAAGGCCACAAACATTGAAAAACTAAAAAAAAAAATTTTTTTTAATTCAAAATAAGTATATAAGTTATGTTTATTATATTATTATTATTTTTTATTATTATTATTTTATTTATTATTTTACATCAAAACTATAAATGTTGTACCTTGAACTGCAAGTTGTCATAAGGAACTGAACAATTCTGGTTCAGAGTCTGATTTACCCTTAACATATCAGAAATAATAATGACTAAAGTTCATTGAAAAGTCAAGAATTAATTCAGTGAGTCATTAGACTGATTCAAACTAATAACACATCAGAGACATTTTTCTGCAACTCGGACATTGTTGTTGCATGCAACCAGTGAAGATCATGCTATAGTAGGATGCTCATTGTGTTTTTGCATTATTTTCTGGCACACTTGCTCTTTTATTGCATTTAATTCAGACTGTAAAATCAGATAAAATATAATTTCTTTTGCTGTGGTGCTATGGATTTAGTTGCTTCCCAGACTTTGAAGAACTACTAACAGAACAAAAAAACAAACATAATTTGAGTCCTATACTGTTTTTTAACCCTTAAACACATACCTCGGGTCTTTGGTGGCCCGGGAAGTCTTTCACTACCCTCCTCATCATTCATTTTTTAAAGTTAGACATCAACCTTCTTAGTATTCCTCAATCAATTCATTATAAACAATGTAACACATTTTTTTTTTTTTTATTAAAGAATGCCTGTTTTTCCATTAATTTTTTGTAAAAATTGTATAGGGTCGCTAACGACCCAAGGTGTAACAGTGTAATTATTATTTTTTTCTGCACGACTATAATTTAATCTTTGATGACTGAATAAGTGCAATTCACCTTTATTCCACTAGGTGGCAATGATGAAGTGACATTTCACTCATAGTTACCGCAGGCAGAAAACAAAAGAATAGGAGTAGGGTTGGGCCGATGGACGATATCATCGTCCATCGTGATGGCTGACAGACATCACGATGTTTAGACGTCGTGATGTCCCCCCCCCGTCCCGTTTCCATGGTGACGCGTCATGCTTGGCACGTGATTCACCACAGCCAAAATATGACAGATTTAGCGCTTTTATTTCTAAATATGAACAAACTTGCTTACTTGTCATGAACTATCTTCTATTCCGATTCTCAAATATGTGTAAGTGAGTTTGTTTTGTCGTTTAAAAAAACTATAAATTATCTTGATCTGCACGTGAGATGGGCGCCGTGTTTGGGCCGCAGTTCAGAGATTTCTGTCTGTTGGATTTATTACAGCGCGTGAATTCATCAGTTTTTCCCGAAATACATGAAAGTAAGTGGCCGGTGAACTGGGAGAAAAATAGAGTTGACTTTATAGTTATTTACACTGTGTCTCTCTGATATGAATAAAAAGCGTCGTCAAATATATTTGAATGGGTTGTTATTGCTGCTTCCATAGACACCATTGTGTATTTTACAAACTGTAAATGTATTGTTTTGCTATAAATTATATGTATTTAAATGTCTGAAACCTAAAATAAACATTATGTGGTTAAAAACACTGAACAGATAGCCTATGACAAGCGCTGAGCGTGTCCGTCTTTGGCTCAGCGCCAGCCATAGAGCGATAGCACACAGTTTGAATCTGGTAGTGATGACACGTCACTGTACATTCGCTCTTAGTGCTCAGCTGCTGCAGAGCGGGCCGAAATCGAAATTGCTGATGAGATATAGAGGAAAATATCTAGTGGAAAATGTGAATATTACGAAAATACCCCCCCCCCCCCCCCCCCCCTCCATCGCGATGTTTCACTGTAGACTTCGTCTGATGCCAAATTGGTAGACATCGCCCAACCCTAAATAGAAGTATCATCAGCAAAACTTGAAATGGCGCAGCAATTTACTGCAGAGGGAGTGTGGAACGCAGTCAAATATTAGTGTCACTGTCTGATGGTGGATCTGGTGAAGAAGCTGTCTGTGATCAAAATACGGATTTTGAAGATGTTGAAAATGATAGTTTTGAGAATATGTTTGAGATGGCGAATATGAGCCAGATGCTGAATGTTCTGGAAAATGAGCTCTGACGAGAACAGTGATGATGGTATAAAACATCTGCTCAAACTGAACCCTTCCAAGCTCCAAAAGAGAACAAAATATGCTTTATTGTATTCTTCTGTAATTGTTACTCTAATATCAGGAGAGTTTTATATTATCGCGTCAGGTAGAGATCCATCCGTGTTAGATATAGATCCGGGTCGCTAAAGACCCGAATGTGTAATAATGATTGGTGAAACATTCATAAATTTAAGGGTTAAACTAACTTTAATAAGAACAATCCAAGATTCTCAACCATAATGAAAACACAGATCACAACTCATTACCAGATGATATCCCAGATATTGACATCACGTGGGAATTTAAGACCTGGATTGGAAGGAGGTGCGCAGAGGTTAAAGAGGACAGCAGATAGAGTGAGAGAGAAGACGAGTCAATACTTGCTGGCAAGTTTTATTTCTCTGATTTACAGTGAAGCTCTGCGGACCACTGGAGCAGCAAGACAAGGATTTTAGAAATGAGGAAAGAGCAAATGGTCATAGGCTGAAAGGAAAGCAAGCGGTTACCAGGCAACAGGACGTCAACACTCTCCATCAAATATAATTTATTCTGATTTAGCCGTGAGCATCTTTCAATCACATCTGAAATAGGGAGAAGGGAATATGGATGGAGGAAGGGATGAATCTTCACCTTTTCTTGGAGGCACAATAATTCTTTATTCCCGTGCGTGTCATGATGGGCCGTTCGGGCTCAGAGGTCACGCTATCAGAACTAATGAGGTCCAAATCAATGTCTGCAGGTACTAATGTACGGTGTTACGTCTTTACGGCCTACGGCTTCTTCTTGCAGACTTACTGTAAAGAACAGAGATGTAATATTATCAGGGGTGTTTACTAAAGCAAACATCACCATTCTTACTCATGCTTATAGGAGTTTGGTCAAATCATTATTCAAGAAAAGCGAATGAGGAGGCTGTCAAACTTAAGAAATAAAAAATTCAGTGAGTGTGGTTTCTGTCACGGGTAGTTGTTCTGAACAAAGCACATGACAGGAATGATCCAAGAAACAGTCTTTAATTCCAAAATACTGAGGGAACACGGAGTATAAATACTAGAACAAATGAGGGAAATAATAAGCTAATTAATTGGACGACAGGTGTAATAAATCAAACAGACACAGACTAGGAAAAATAGGTCAGCTGACAGGGCACACGGGTAAAACAGGGCAGAACCAAAAACACAAAGAAACAAGGTAAAACCAGCATTCATTTTACAGTTTCAGTCTGTGGGTTGTTTTAAGTAGGCGTGGCTCTAATATGTGGGTTGTTTTAAGTAGGCGTGGCTTTAATATGTGGGTTGTTTTAAGTAGGCGTGGCTTTAATATGTGGGTTGTTTTAAGTGGGTGTGGCTTCAGGGAGTGGAAATTATAGTGGTCTATCCACAGTAAACATGTTATTTTAATATTACCGGCATTTATAGGCCTATATACTATTGTAGTTTTTATTCATATTTTGAATTAGCTTTTTATATGTTCAGTTTTCATTATATTTTCAGTTATGAAAAAATATTGCTGCATTAAAAAAAAAAAAAAAAATCAGTAACAATTTATTTTACAATGTCCTTGTTACACATGTCATATGTAGTTACTATAGTAATACCGGTAACTATAAATTGTGCATAATTTCATGTAACTAACCCTAAACCAAACCCTAATCCTAACACTGTAGTAAGTAATGTTGTTAATTAATATTACTCAGTTCTTAAGATATAATTACACTGTAATGTGACGTAGCTTTACATATATTTTCATTTAAGTTTTAGTTTTAATAAGTTTAGTTCTTCAACTTTTTAATAACTTAACTTTTTTATTTTATTATTATTATTATTATTTTTTTTTTATGTATGTTCAACATTTGTGTATGCAAGTGTGTACATATGAACTTTCACATGGACAGATTTCTGTGTTCTTTTTCATTTAGTGTATATCCTGAACAAATGGCTGGCTTGTGGTCTGTTTGGTGCTTAAGATCCAGTTGAATCATTTGTTTAGAGCCGTTTGACAGTAATTTAATCCAGAATATTTTTAGTTTGTTGCTTTATCAAATTTATTTATTTATTATACATGTGTGCTTTATTAAGCTTACATAAATTATTTACATTCATACATTATTATATAGGAGAAAGAGAACAATGTGTTTATATGGACCATTTGTTTATGTGAAATGTTCAACAAAACAAATAGTACTGTATTATGTGAGTGAGTGTGTGAGAGCAGTGCACATGTGAGATGCTGTATTGCACTGTGTGTGTGTGTGTATAAGCCCTGCAGGCCTGCTGCTATTTTTAGTCAATGTCTCTCTTCTTTCTTCTCCTACAGTATCTCGTTTTCGCTTTTATATCTTTCTTTAATGAATCTCCTCTAACAGTGGCTGACATTGCTGTGCAATTTCCTGCACTGCCCTGCGGCTCGACACATGAGCAGATCTGTGTTGCGCTGTCTGTTAATTCTGACATGATAAGATGGATCATGCAGTTCATTTCATGTGTGCATACCTCAAATAATCATTTACATGTGTGTCATGTTTACTACTACTACTACTTAGTTAGTAAAATGTACTAAAAATTAAAATTTTCAGTTGCAAAAAAATCATGTTCTTAATCAGTATTTCAGTAATATTATTTCTGTGCAGTACAGAAGTCATCTATGGGGCATTTAGGAAACAGTCTGTTTTCAGGAGTAACTTTTTGTTGTTGTTTCAATGCTCAAGGGAAGTAAATTCACAGGAATCTGATGTGAAATATACATTATTATGGATGGTAAACTGCTCATGAGTATGTTTAAAACCGGAATCTAACATCTGTTTCTCTCTCTCTCTTTCAGTCATTTCTCTTGTCTCTCATCCAAGTACATGTGTCCCGGTGTTCCCGCGGTGATGAGTAACCTGCTTGCCAACATCAATGCCTACTTCGCTCACACAACAACAGCAACCACTAACATCTCGGCCTCCGACCGATTCGCAGCGTCCAACTTTGGGGTTTGTCAGTCTCACTGCTTTTGGATGGGTGAATGATACATGGGATAGATAAATAGATAGACAGAAAAACAGACCAACAAATGGACAGATGGATGGACAGACAGACTGACTGAAGGATAGCTAGATGGGTGGTTGGATGGATGAATATACAGACAGAAAGATGGATGAATGAATGAATGAATGTATTGATGGATGTACAGATGGATGGATGGATGTAAATGGACTGCATTTATATAGCGCTTTCACAGACCCAATGGCCACCAAAGCGCTTTACATTTGACCTCTCATTCACCCATTCACTCACTCATTCATACACCGACTGTATGGATATATGGATGGATGTTTGGATGGATGGATGGATGGATGGATAGATAGACAGACTGATGGATTGATGGATGAATGAATGAATGAACGGACGGACTGATAGATATATGGAAGGTTGGATTGATGAATATACGGAGAGACAGATCGATGGATGTATGGATGGATGGATGGATGGATGGATGGTTGGAAGGATGGACAGACAATGGATTGTTGTATGGATGGATGGATGGACAGATAGATAGATAAATGATTGAATGAATGGATGATATGTTGATGATTGAATTGATGAATGCACAAACAAAAGGAATAGATGGATAACAGGATGCATTACCGATCTGCTTTATGTGACTTTGGTTTTCTGCAGAGAGAAAAGTTTGTCAAACTCTTGGATCAGCTTCACAACTCTCTAAGGATCGACCTCTCCAAGTATCGGGTGAGTTAAAGCACAACCGTCAAACCGAAGATCTTAGCACACATGCATCTCTCAGACGCTACGCTGCTCCAGATGGATTTTCTATTTCAGAGACATCAGAAAGAAAAACACTTATCTATTATTCATCGCCGTGGAGATAATTTGACCCCTCCATCACTTTTAGTGATCCCCTACCTTAATTTACAAAGACATTCAAACGCCTATACAAGATCTTCACAGAACAGAAGGTCCATTTATACACGCACAAAGCAACGATTTGAGAAAGTGTCTCTGAAAATCAAAGATTGTTCTTGACTCGTGCTGACCTTCTTGCTTTTATACTAATTGTGTCTCTAAATATGTCATGAGGGAAAATGTCTCTCAGTCCAACAGTTTGTTTCTTCTGAAAGGACGCTTTCACAGTCAGGTCACATATTTAAGTCTGTGACTTTCTCGTTGATGTGCAGTCCGTCTATATCTGTGTGTGAGCTAGAAAGCATTGACAGGAAGCTCACACACACACATACACACACACACACTCTCCTGGCATGCATCCAGGGAATTCAGTGCCCGTTACCTGCTGCTATCCGGCCGTCAGCTTCCAGGCAACATGTCCTGGCAGTAATACACTCCAGATCTGCAGCGCTCTGTGGATTTGACTGTAATGAAATTCTGAGAAAAAGTGAGTTTGGTTTTTCGGTTGCTCGTGTGGATTTGGTCGATGCAGGTTTTGTTCCTCCAGAGTGCTTTAACGCCTCTGCTTTATTAGATGAATTTAAACCATTTGCGTCTGTTTTGTCTACATCATAGTTGTGTTCAATAAACCTCAGGCAGACTTATCTCCTTTACACTTGCACAGGATTATACGTTTCTCCAAAAGCCTTGAAATCACACTGAACTCCAGAAAACACTAGAAGCTTTCTGCTCAATCTGGCGCCATTCCATGTGCTTTCAAAACAATAACTTTATCATGGAAAAGATTGATCGCACAATACTCCATGTGCCCAATGTGTTGCAAGTTTATTTTAGCCATCTGTCAGAAATCAAATTAGTTTGTTCACAAATATCATACACTAGCCTTTCAAAATTCCGGGGTCGGTAAGATTTTTTTTTGTTTTTTGAAATATGTCTCTTATGCTCACCAATGCTGCATTTATTTGATCTGAATGTAATTTATTCCTGGGATTTAAAGCTGAATTTTCAGCATCATTACTTCAGTCTTCAGTGTCACATGATCCTTCAGAAATTGATTTGATGCTCAAGAAACATTTATTATTATTATCAATGTTGAAAACGGTTGCTCTCCATGTTTTTGTGGAAACCGTGATGGATTTTTTCCTGACACTGATTTCAGACACCTCATGGCAATTTTTTTCACTCTAGAGATTTTGAAGTAGACCAAAGTCTGAGATTTCAGTTTGTATGGTGGGCAGTTCATGTGAACTCATGTGAACTGTTTATTTGCAGTTGTAAAGAAATATTGATGGCATAGAATTTGTATTCAATCAATTAACAATACTTCTATGTACTCATTCATCTTAGTTAAGGTTAATGTCTATATTTCCCTATAAATCTGTTAACATTAGTTAATTCTCTGTTCACAAAAATTCACCAAAAAATATTGTTTGCTACTAGCTGCATTGATAAACAGCTGCTGCTAGGACTACCGCAATTCAAACCCAAAAATACTGTGAGGAAAGACCTGCGGCAACAGAGGGAGGGATGTGGAATCAAAGCAAGTGTGAAAACAGCCTAAATTGATTTGTCTTAGTTTTTTGGTGCTGGTTGTTGACAAACAGCTCCAGCACTCCATTACTCGCTCTGAATAATTAGAAAGCTGCGGTGAAACACCAGCCAAGAAGTACAGAAAGGTCTCACGCTCTGGCATTGATAAAAGTGCCGAAAAGCGTATACCTCAGACCACAGGAGTCTCTTCTCATTCTTACAAAACCAAGTCATTACTATTGCATAACCATGCCGTCACAAAACTCAGTGACATTTTATAACTTGTTTTAGCTGCCATCAGCGCAATCCGACAGAACACAATGCAAAGATGCAGAGGTTCCCACGGCATTGGTTTTCTCCAAGCTCGTTTTGTGTTCGGGACTGTCCGCACATGCATGGCCTCTTCCTCTCACAGTGTAAATATACTGTGTTCCTTCATGCTAGAGCGGGCAGGCTGATAGCTTTACAGCCCAAGAACACATTTTCTCTGCCTGTTGCGGATTTTGCTCATGCTGCTATATTATGATATATTTTGTCATTGGTGCTCATGACGATGGAATACGTTTTGGTTATTAATATTGCTGCATAATGCTGCTAGGTGAATGAAGATGACTCATGTTGACATGTTTTTAACCATCCATCTCTGCCAAAGCTCCTCAACTAGAGTAAAAGGCCATTTGAAATATTAACAGGTGAAACATCCACCATCTAGAGATGTTTATCATAATGTTTCAGAAGAAACAGCTATTCAGTCAGATCTTACTCATATGCAAACCGATCTTATGTTTTACCTCATATTTATGTTTGCTAGAATCCTCATTAGAGGATTGTGTTTAAGGTTGGATATTGTTTGAATTGTATCTAGTCCGATTATGATTCTTTTTATTCCAGTTTTGATTCCAATAAGGTATGAATAAAAATCTGTAGCCTAAGAACACTTACACAGGAACCAGAGCAAAAACATCTTGCCTAACTGATATACATTTCAAACACTATTAAAGACAAGTAAACACTTAGTAATAAAATAAGAACAAATAAATGTATTAGCAATAGCATAAATAAATCTTTTGTTCTTTTATTAACATTAATGACTGACGGCAGCAGGTATATTTGGCTGATGTCACTAAGACCAAATGCACAGATCAAATATACTGTTGCACGTTTTCTTCCTCAACGGTTTACGTTCACTTGAGATAAAACTGACTGTTTACGATGACATTTTGGGCCTGTTTACACCTGGTCACTTCATGCTTTTTCTCGATAGCTATCCGATCGTGAAAAGACCAGGTGTAAATTTCCTCCGAAGCGCATTAGAGACAGATTTAAATCCGATCACTCAAACCACTTCAGGAGGTGGTCTGAGACACATTCCAGTCCAAAACTGAACAAGTCTAAATGCATCTGTTGTTGAAACTACATTTGTAAATTTGACTCCTCCCAACAATGCTAAAAAAACAAACGCGTGAGAGCCGGTTATAGGCTGTGTATGTCATGTTACATTCAGATATGACAGCACTACTGCAGCACGCATCGCCGCAGATGAGCAGCTGAGTATTTCTTCAGTTAACTGCTGACCAGGTGACCTGGTGTAAATAGGCCCTTTGACATAATTTTGTTTGTATTTTTTTCCGTTCAAGCGCAACAAGACGCGAATGATAACTCAATTCAGCATTCGCACACTATCTGAGAGGCGGCTTTTTGTGCGCGCACTTCAGTTTGGAGCACAGAAAACAGTGTGCGAGTACAACATTTTGTTCTCTTTCGCGTTCTTCTTGCCCTTGAATGATTTAAAATCACACAGGAATCAATAAGCAGAATTGAAATGTACATGTCTTATCGAATCCATGGTTCTTGGACATTTGGAACCAGTATTTTTCCGAATTTTTATTCCTTGGCGAATTATTTCCCCCTCCCTTGTTGAAGCTGCTAACTGATTGCCTAATCCTAACCCCACCCCCTAATCCTAAACCTACCTATACTGGGATTTTTAATTGTTGTTAATTTAGCAACTGGTAACATCAAAGTCTCATGCGATAAACTGAAATCAGTCTATAGCCACATCTATCATATACATTTTGATAATCTGTGTTTATTTGGGATCTTTGTGCAAGTACAAACTACATGTTTTTCTGTTATGCCAAAATATAGACCTATATAGTCCATCTTTCTGAGTCTTTTCACTTGCCTCTTTTCATCAAATATATAGCCACAACTGTAATCTTAATCTATTTATCTTCACCCTTCAAATATAATCTGATTTTTATTCTGTGTTTGCAGGATAACTTCCCTGCTGGAAATCCAGAGAGACTCCAGGATTTAAAATCAACCGTTGACCTGCTGACGAGCATCACCTTTTTCAGGATGAAGGTACGACACTTAAACTCTCTCTCTCTCTCTCTCTCTCCCTCTCCCTCTCCCTCTCCCTCTCCCTCTCCCTCTCCCTCTCTCTCTCTCTCTCTCTCTCTCTCTCTCTCTCTCTCTCTCTCTCTCTCTCTCTCTCTCTCTCTCTCTCCCTCTCCCTCTCTCTCTCTCTCTCTCTCTCCCTCTCTCTCTCTCTCTCTCTCTCTCTCTCTCTCTCTCTCTCTCTCTCTCTCTCTCTCTCCCTCTCCCTCTCCCTCTCCTCTCCCTCTCCCTCTCCCTCTCTCTCTCTCTCTCCCTCTCTCCCTCTCTCTCCTCTCTCTCTCTCTCTCTCTCTCTCTCTCTCTCCCTCTCCCTCTCTCTCTCTCTCTCTCTCTCCTCTCCCTCTCTCTCTCTCTCTCTCTCTCATCTCTCTCTCTCTCTCTCTCTCTCTCTCTCCCTCTCCCTCTCCCTCTCCTCTCCCTCTCTCTCTCTCTCTCTCTCCCTCTCCCTCTCCCCTCTCCCTCTCCCTCTCCCTCTCTCTCTCTCTCACACACACACACACACACACACACACACACACACACAAGAGATACTCATGCATTTCATGAAAGAGAATTCTTTCAAATAAAAATATGAATGAAACTATCAGGGGGTTTTGCGACTTTCATGGGCAGTCAAAACATTATTGCAGTTGTTATTCAGTGTGAAGGACTTTCTAATTATTTCCTGCATTAAGTAGTCAAATATATTAAATGAAAAATAAAATCCTGTTCAACAAACTTCCTTTCACATCATAATTTTGAATGAATCCCACAAAGTTATATTTTATATATTATATATTGCTCCAAAACCAATAAGAAAAAAAAGAAATGTAGTTTTTTTGCATTATTATTATTATTAATTTCATGACAATTAAGCACATTATCTCTTAAAATTCGTCCCCATTTCTAATTCTCAGTACACCAGCGTGAATTCACTACCAAATATATATATGATATATATATCATGATGTATACTGTAAATACTTTGCAATGGAAATAATATACTATTTCGTGTTTCTATTCTAGCCCAAACAAACTTATACATAAACAAAGGCCCTTTGCATTGCTCACGGTAATTCAGAAAAATATCCATTTCATAGCTCAAGATTCTGTTCTAAAACGTTAAATGCATGTAATTCATCTCTAAATCCATCAAACTCACAAACACTGAATAAACGTCTTTATCGAAAGACTGGGTGATTTATTAAGTAGGCTATTATGTCGTGTAATATTTGGGGGAGCAGCATGCATTTTGATGAGAAAATGTCATTCAAGTGTCATACAATGTAATGTGACTATATATCAGCTTGAGGCACAAGTTAACATGAGTCCAGCTCTTCCCATAATGAAACAAAGAAGACTTTTGAATTTTTCCTACATCAATTTGTACATGATAAGATGCTTTAACGTTAAGCTGACTGCTTTTCTTGACACAGTTCGAATCCTGTATCATGAGTTTATTGGCGTTTTTGTTAAACAAACTTTTGCCATTACAAGCAATGAAATTCCTTGTTTTTTAATCTCTACAATAATATAGCATCATGTAGTGCAAATGTTTAATTGTAATGGCCGTATTGCACAGGCTTCACGTCTGGCGTAAGGTCACAACTTAACACGGTAACCAGTTAAACTGTAACATGGAGCGTCTATTTATTCGGCAGGATATAAAACTTTAGATCGGGTTTTTTAACTTCAGTCGTAATCTTTATAAAGAGTAAAGATCAAGCGCCTAACAAGGTCTACACGTGTTAATTCGAATAGTTTGTTTTCCCCCACGGCATAAACGGATATGATGTTTTCGTTGGAGTTCCCAGATATGACCTAAAGTCAAAATCTCTATTAATTGAACATTTTACCTCGATTTGTACTGTAAATATGCTCAACTATTAAATGTGGGATATTTTATTTTATTTTACAATATTTAAAGGAAACAAACTTTGATGTTAGCTTGAGAAAGCCCAAACCTTGAACCGGGACTCGAACTCGGGTCGCCTGAATCGCTTGAATGTTCAAACTGGCAATGTTAACACACATACAATTGACAAACTTTTGTGAGGTTTGAGTTTTCCTCCATGTTGCTTCTATGCCGCTGACTGGATGGTGCGAAGTCACGTGACTACACACGCAGTAGTATGTTTTTAAGGGGAAATTATTAACAAAGAAAACAAAATAACCGGTTAGATGTTATGACTTTGATTAATCGTCCAGCCCTAATTACGGTAATGGTAATTTAGGGTGTAATTGTCTTGGAAAATAATGCCACAATAAAAAAAGATCTCTGAATAGCCAGTTTCATTTTCTTTATGCTTATATATTTTGGGGCTGAAATATGACCCTGCCAAGTTTTTGACTTGTCCGATTGTGAATTTCTGATAGGCTATATTTCACTCATTCATTCACAGCCGTTCTGATACAGATCTCGTGTTGATTGTCTCGAGGTAATGAGCTGCTAATCACAGCTTTCCTGATAAGAGTCCTGCATTGAAGGAGTTCTGATGTGTTTCACTTCAGTGAGCACAGATAAAGTGAATATACTCTCTGATTGTTTTCATCTATGTTCTGCTTCATCAGCTGCGAATATAAAGCTGCACTTTTGCAGTCTGTAATGAAATATTTTTCACCGGCGCTGCAGGGTTTCAATGATTTCTCATTTGTTTGCACGAAATAAAAAAATCTTTTGGCTCTTGAAATATGTACTTGAGTCAAATTTATTTGAGCACAATAACAAGAACCACTTGTTCTGGGGGTCTCGTGGCAATAAAAACGTCTTTGACTTATAGCTCAGCTCTGAGTGAGACAATACAGCCTTTTTTGATAAGTCATAAAGAATATACTGATTTCTCGCTGTTGGGGAGCCGCGTCTGGAAATGTATTCAGAGCAAAAGTGCTTGTAAAATCACACTACTCAGAGCTTTAGGTTGCTTAAGGGCAACCAACCAGACTATTTTATTTAGTAGACATACTTTAAATGAGATCACAGCCACGATTGGCCCCTGCTGTTAGTTCACTGAGCTTGATTCTCTGTTGTGCCGTTTGCAGGCATTTTAATATATGACGGACTATTGTAATTGCAGTTCAATATGAGTTGTAAAAAAGACATCAAATCCAATACAAATAATAAACAGTGATTGATTTTTTTCCCTTCCTTTCTCCTCCCAGGCTATTATAGTTCATTTACACAGACGTGCACACATTTGCTATTTCGTTTTGTCAAATGTAGTCCTTGCTGAGACATTGACAGCCATTGGCCACAAACATACAGTACAGCATGCAACTATGCAAACACAGATACGAATTTGAAGTTTCCTTCAAATGTCTGTGCCATTAAACCACATGTTATATTATTAACCCATAAACTGTGCTCTTGTTGAATTATTAATATCATCCTGACACATTTCAGAATGCAATGGCATGAATCAAGCTTATGTAGCTAGAAGCGTTTGTGTACTTGCGTGGAATATGTTTTGGGTCTTTGATGTAGATAGATAATGTTTTATTCAAAACTGTATGTGGGTCAATGATGATGTTAATTTTTATTTTGGTCTGGATCAATGAATGTATTAAAAGCTACATTAAAAATGCAATTCTTAAAAACGAGGACTGTACTGAAGTGTTTTTTGTATTAATATTTAAGAAAATATTATTTTATAGTTTATAAGAACAGATATTAATGAATAAATGAATGAATGAATGAATGAGGCATTTATATAGCGCTTTTTATATGTACTACTGTACATATATAAATATAAATATAATACATTTATTTTAATAATATAGATTATATTTTTGTATTAATGTTATATTTTATTATAGAAATTAAATTATTTTTTTTACTGATAATTTATGTAGCTGACTTGGTGGAAGCCATTTTGTTTTTATATGACAAGAAAACTATTTTCAGGATTTTAGGTTTCTTATCTTAAAGTTTCTTAATTTATATAAAAAAATATATTTAAATAATCTAACTACTTGGCTTGTATTTTTATAAGAATTGTCATCATCTCCTGATTTAGATTTGATTGCCTGTGAACTGCGAGAATTAAGGAGTGTGTTTGGATGAGTCGTACAGAGTAGACTGAGGCATGAGGAGATGATGTCACATCCACACACACACACATACACACCTAGCGCTGTCAGTTCATTAGCCAGGCCTTGCGTCTGATAAAAAGCGCTTCGTCATTTTAATGACTGACAGCTAGAGTGGTCTGAGCAGGCAAATCAGTGAAGCACGGCTAAAGAGGCAGAGGAAGCCCCGCCCACCGAGAGAACACCGCTAGGCAGAGAATGAAAACTCCAACTGTCACAATGCATTATGGGTAATGGAAGAGTGCCCATGCCGGGGTGATGTTTATTTCTCCCCTTAGCGTCCGCATTCAGAAACACCAACACGGCACAGGCAGATGAGTGGGACACATTAGTCAGTTACATAAGGCAAAAGAAGTGCATTCTAATGTATATTCTGATGTTATTCATTTACATATTCTGAGGGAGTATTTTCAGTATCTTCTTCGGCTTCTGTACAAGGAAAGAAATAAGTCCAAAATATACTAGAAAAGCAGAGAAAAAAGCTGTACTGGTATTTTACTAAGTGATCAGACGTATGTGATGGGGAACAAAAACATAAAAAAATAATAATATCACAGAGACTTGGACTCTTGAAGCAGTATGCAACACCTTAGTAACCACATAGCAAGTTACTATGTGTTTGCAGAAGTGTTGTTGGTGGTTGCCAGGGCATTATTATATGGTTGCTAAGTAATTAGTAAGTCTGAGTTGCTATGCTATTTGGCTATGCAGTTGCTACAGAGTTCTGGAGCCGGTTGCATAAACCGCTAAGGCTAGTCTTACAAGTTAGACATCAAATTGTTTTCTTTATGACTGTTCATAACTTTTTTAATCAGTTACATAAAAACGTAGATTGGCCTAATTTGATACCGAAAAGTTAGACTGACTTCCTCTTGACTAACTGGTACCCAGACAGCAACATAGTGTCGGCCCAGATCCGGCCCACATCTGGGCCGTGTGGAGTCCACGTGTACCAGATCCGGCCCACATCTGGGCCGTGTGGAATCCACGTGTACCAGATCCGGCCCACATCTGGGCCGTGTGGAATCCACGTGTACCAGATCCGGCCCACATCTGGGCCGTGTGGAATCCACGTGTACCAGATGTGGGCCGAATCTGGGCCGACGCTATGTTGCTGTCTGAGTATTGGTAATACTAGATCTAAAGACACAAGTTGTGTCCCAAATGACGCACTATACACTATGTACTTATCAATCGTGTAGTTAATGAACTATAAGGTTGTTTATCTTTCAACATTAGAGACTGATAGCCCCTCCCCTCCGCTATGTAATTAAAGCTACGTAATTAAAGCTATGAGTGCATGAAGTGTTCAACCAAAAAAAAAAAAAAAAAGTGTAAAAAGTTCCACGCTTCGTTTTTTTTTTTTGGTTAAATAAGTCCATCATCCGGGTATTTAAAGTGCAGTTTTTCATTTTGTAATTCAGTGTGAACACCACTCGTGCCATTTATACTACAAAACGACATAGAATTTGGATTGAGAATTGCGAATTGGTACACACCAGTTGTCTTAACATAATGGCTATGTTTTTGCAACCGGACCCTGAATGGTTGTAGATTCTAGTATTCTGTGTGGATTCTAATTTACACCATAATAGTACAAAACACCTTAGCAACCACATCACTATCAACCATAGCATTCACATGGCAACACTGAAAACTTTTCAGGAAGCCATAGAAACTATTACACAGAATACCTTAGAAACGGCATACTGCATACATCATGATTACTGATTATATAAGTTGTGATGAACCATTTTAAGCATCTGTGTATTAGTATTTGACTAATTCTGAGGTGTTTGTGTGTGTGTGTGTGTGTGTGTGTGTGTGTGTGTGTGTGTGTGTTCTAGGTGCAGGAGCTGCAGAATCCTCCCAGAGCCAGTATGGTAGTTAAAGACTGTGTGAAGGCCTGTCTGGACTCCACCTACAAATACATCTTTGACAACTGTCATGAGCTCTACAACCAGCTACTGGACCAGGTAAGAGCAGAGACTAACCAATCAGGGTTAAGAAAGGATCTAAGATCAGTAAGACCACAAACATACTCAAGTACATGAATGCAGATAATGTTTCCACAAGGTGCGCTTTAGTGGACATTGACACAAACTGTCATCTTCTATGGTCAGTTTTCTCTTTTAGGCTTCATGTGATCAGTGCTCAACACTAAGGATGTTTCTAATGGCCTGGTTAGGCTAGTGGTTTAGATTTTTGCTAAATAAATAATGATGGGTGGGTGGATAGATGGATAGAAATTGGCAGGACTTACAAAAAATGTGTAAATGAAAAAACGTGTGGCACTGGCCCGATCGGTCCATTGGCAATCTGTTAAGTATCAGAAGAACGTCTGTTCGACCTTATTGTCGAGCCCTGGTGTTGAAGTGTTTAGCGGCGACCTGAATAATAACACATGCTGTTGAAGAAAACTCAATCTGCGCCTTGAGAATTGAGATCTGTTAAATATGTACAACTAGACGACACTCTTGCAATGCATTTTCTTAGAAATAACATCTGTGATGTGTGGTGTTTCTGGACAAATTGTGTGTGTGTGTGTGTCACATAGATAGCGTTAGTGTGCAGAACGAGAGAACAGTCTTTCCTCGCTGGAAGAGAGCGTTTCTTCTCACCCCTGTTGTAAACTACATGCAGTGTTATGACACTATTTCTGATGCTGTTGATGTGAATGTGTGTATAGCGAGTCTCTCATTACAATGTCACTTCGATCTGATCCCTCCAGTCAGACACGACAATGAAATTTCTCATGGTCCATCCACATTACACACACACCAGGGCAGAGGCATTCACGCATTCACACACAACATGATCTGATTCGTTGACCCCAGAATCCTCCGTCACAGGGATATGCTGTGAGGACCGATGTCACGCTCGCTCAAAGTGTCATTAAAATCTGGTTGTTTTCTCTAGATGTGGCGTTTTCAGTGCCTGAAACACCCCAGATGTGCTTCAGACTGTTTCCTGTGTCCGTATTTCATTGATTTTTAGTGTATATAGAGAGATAGTTCACCACAAATGTAAAGTCAGTCATCATTTACTAACCCTCATGATGTTACAAACCCATCTACATTATATCACTATTATTATGTATTTATGACTAATATGCATGTTGCTCTTTTCTAGATCTTGACCAGAGTTTGTCAACCCCTAAAAGCACAAAAACAATTGTGATTAAAATATGACTTATGTGCTATATTCCAATAAGCCACTAAGTCTTCTGAAGCCATATGCTAGCTTTGTGTTGTTTTTGAACACCCACAATAAATGGTTTTATTTAGAGGTGACATATTATGACCCTTTTCACAAGATGTAATATAAATCTATGGTGTCTATAAATCTCCCTTTTTGGGTGTGAGCAAAATCATCCAAAATCCCAGAAATAACCAGTAGCGAGTGAAGCCTTACAGAGAGACTCAGGAAGAGGTTGCAACTTTTAAAAGCACCTGGGCGTTTCTGAATGGTTAGTGGATACATTTATGTAGCTGTTGTGGAGTTACATTGATTCATGTCGTTGACTTGCATTTACCGTCATGTTTAACTTTTACACAAGTTGACAAAGTTTCCTGAGGTCTTTATAAGACAGCTGTGACATTTTTTGGTCCAATACTGTTCTGTGCTTGTCTGTGCAGCAACGAACTGTGCTTTGCTCGAACTTCTGCCATTGCGTTAGAACTGGTTACACTGTTGTCACTTAAGAAAACAAAATGGCGGCGCCGTGGGTGGAAACGTGCAGATTAAGGGGAGTGAAATCTGATCGGCTTATTTTTTGACATGCTTGCAGAGAAAGGCTTACCAAAACAAAGTTACTGGTTGTCACTTTTCACGTTTTCTGGGTTGGTAGATGCACCGGAGAGCCGATTATAGCACTTAAACGCGGAAAAAGTCCGATTTTCATGATATGTCACCTTTAAAGAAAAGTTTAGCTGATGTATTTAAAAAGCCATTCATTTTTTCCACTCTGATTGCACTCACTCTGCACGATGACAGTCCACTCTCACTCTCGCTCGTATCCAAGGTAAATCATCACATCACCACTGTCATCCCTTACATGTGTTTTGTTGACCTAATGGCATCGCCATTGGCTAAAATGTTTTCCTAGGTTGCTTTACTTCCTGAACAAGTACGCACCCGAGTCCAAGCCTTCACATTCACACGAATCACGCAACAGTTCCAGTGCAACTGAACTCAGATCACCTCCTACAGGTAGTCTCGGGTTCAGCCCTCCCTGGTCTGTATGACAGCTTTCACATTATAACCGTGTCCTGTTTCCAACTAAAATTTGGAAAAGGACCTTTTGCAGGTTTCTTTAAAAAAATAGCTTTCACTATCCATCTGATTATTCAAAAAACTTGACTCTTCTGTAGTTACATCGTGCACTAAGACCGACGGAAAATGTAAAGTTGTGATTTTCTAGGCTGATATGGCTAGGAACTATACTCTCATTCCTGCGTAGTAATCAAGAAACGTCACTGCCGTACCATGAGTGCAGCAGGCGTAATGATATGACGCAGCGCCTGAAAATAGTTCCGTTGTGTTGACGGAAGGTGGCCTATTTTCAGGCGCTGCATTTTTAGAAATGCTAATGGACTTGTCCACTCCAATGATGTATGCTAAGCTATGCTAAAAGTGGTACCGCCAGAACCGGAGATCGGCTGAATGGATTCAAAAACGGTAAAACTCAACAGTTTAACTCTGGGGGAGTTGTAAAATGAGCCTATTTCCAAAAAAAGTGGAGTATCCCTTTAAGGAAATTTCAGGAAAAGGAAATTGTTTGGAAATGAGTATTTGCTGGGCTGTGTCTTCCTGAAGGTATTCCCTTGGCGATGGCAGATGACTCAGATCTCTAAACTGAGGGATTCAGTTTATTCATATCAGTTTCTGTTTGTTTGCAAAAGAGAGACGTCTCACTTTGTTCTCCTGCGTCAAATACGTTTTCATCTACAAATAATCAGTTCATTCTTGTATTCAATCAGTATGGTAGGTTTAGCTAAATCATCCTGTTTCTTTTGATAGATTGCAAAGAAACAGAATAGTTTCTTTCTTCTGGAGGAAAAAAAAAAGAGATTATTTAAGCTTTATCGATTTTTTTTTTTGCTTACAGAAAATTTATCCTGTTTTTAGGACCATTCAAATTTTTTGCAATGTGATTATTTTTATACAGTTAAGTTACAGTTAAGCACAGTTTTTCCACTTTATTTATGTTCTCTGGGATCGCCATTATATAGAAAAAGAAACAATACCATCCATGTGTTATTTTAGTAATATTTATATAAAATGTTAATATTTATTATTTATTATATTAAATACATTATATTTTCAGTTTTCATTTACATTTTTAAGTTTTTTTGTTGTAATTTAGTTTTTTTGCTTTTGTCAGTTTTATTAGTTTTTTTTTTAGTTTATTATATTTCCATTTAGCTTTAACTTAATTTTAGTACTTCATCTTTTATTTCAGTTAGTTGCCAATGAAGTATATTTAAAAATATAATATTTTAAGAATATTCATATTTTATTTTACTTATTTATTTTTATTTCTGCTTTCTTTTAGTGAACAAAAGCTATTTTTAACCATAAATGATTTTTTTAACAATAGTAAACAATAACACTGATCCTGCAGAAATAGGAGTGTTTCTGTGTTTATACGTTCATCGAGCTCTCGATGGCAGGACTGGAAAACACACATTCGTCCACAGCGACTGAACTAAAACGTGTAACTCATCTGCTAGCAGACAGCAGCAGCGCCCAGAGAACTTACATCAGCCCTAAATAACAGCTCGGATTCCCCGAACACAACGCAGCTAAAATTACGAGCCAGAGTTTCACTCTCGCTAGTGAAGAGGCTTATTTTTAGTGAAGAGGCTTATTTTTAGTTGCAGAACTGACCCATCTTCTTTAACTGAGGCAACGGCCCCATGAAGAGGAAAATAGGTTTTTATTTGGTGCTACAGGAATGGGCACATTGAATGTTCTTCCTCTGGATGTCTTATATATTAAATATAGCGGCATCACTAAGAGGTGGGTTGGTATGTTATATAATCATGTCAAAAAGCTCTTAAGACACGTGCAGGGGGGGTCGGAAACAACCAAATCCTGTTAGTGTGATGTGAATGAAGGAGATCCATAGAAGAGACAGAGAGAGAGGGAGAGAAAGAGGGAGGCTGAAAAAGAACAAAGAAACAAGGTTGGTGGAAATCAAATGAGACACACTGAGTCAGAACAACTGGGAGAATATTCCGAGTGATAAAAAGATGCAGAAACTGACAGAAAATATTGATTGACTATGGCAAGAGAAATGCCAAGTTTGAGTAGTAAGATTGAATTAAAACAATTTTTTTTTTTTTTTTTACTTTTATCCAACCATCTATGAATGATTCGGGTATGTGAGGCACTGTATTAACTATTTGACTTTCCAAAAAACGAAGAAAAATAAATTAGATTTTGCACAAAGAAATTAAGCTTATTGTATCAGTCTATTTGATTTTTTTTCTGACAATTAACCACCATTTTTTTAATACTATAAAATAAATTACATTTCATAATATTTAATTAATGATATTAAATTATGTTTTAATGATAAAACTAATACTTATTATTTTATTGTAATTGTATTGTAATATTCATTCAAACAAAGTATATTCATTTTACGGTTTTAATGCTGATTTAAATAAAAAAATTATATTTATTTATTACAGTTGTGAACCATTAAGAAAAAAAAAATGCAAAAGTAAAATTCTGAAAGCATTAGAGCAATGAGAATGTATTTAATTGTCATGAAAATGTCAATTTTAAATAAAAAAACCGGGACCAAAAGGATGCATCTTTCTTTATGCAATATATATATTACAATTTTTGTGATGACGTGTTGTTTTCATGAGATTCACCAATCTAGGCTACCAAAGAAAGAGAGAGATTAACCTCTTTACATTTTCATTTATGTCCTTATTTAAGGCACTTTCCTACCAAAGTG